GCATATATTATACAAGTTAAATTCTGTAGTTCCAATAGTTTACAGCAGAAAGGCAGCTGTAGTACTCAGATATCTGACCTGTTTGCCTGGTAGAATTGAAAGTGCCATGTAACTCCAAGCAAAGGAAAAAAAAGTGGTTCCTAGAACACCTGGCTGAGTTTATACTCCCTGCCAGGAGCTGCCCTGTGGTTCTTGTGGTAGATATAGTCATGAAGACTCAGGTGGGGAAAACCACACAATGTGGGTGCCACTTTCCTAGGGCTCCTCCTGCTCTTGGCTCATGAGGGGCCTTATTTGTAGTGTCTCAAATTGTGACAAGGATACATTTTCCATTGAATCAGCATAGGTTTTTTGTTTGTTTTTTTTAAACAAAGTCTACAGTTAATATATTTTCTTCCAAATTAGGTTTTCTTAATTACACAAAAAGTGATATATCAGTTTTTTTTTTTTTTTTTTTTTTTTTTTTTTTGAGACAGAGTCTCGCTCTGTCGCCAAGGCTGGAGTGGAGTGGCATGATCTTGGCTCACGGCAACCTCCCTTGCCTGGGTTAAAGCGATTCCCCTGCCTCATCCTCCCAAGTAGCTGGGACTATAGGTGCACGCTACCTCATTGGGCTAATTTTTTGTATTTTTAGTAGAGATGGGGTTTCACCATGTTGGGTAGGCTGGTCTCAAACTCCTGACTCCAGGTGATCCGCCTGCCTTGGCCTCCCAAAGTGCTGGGATTACAGGTGTGAGCCATTGCAACTGGCCTGATTTATCAGTTTTCACATAGAACTGCAGATAAAGCTGTAAAACAAGGTCTATTTTTCAAAATTCAACAAAGCAAAGGCCTTGTATCTATTGTCTACTTATCTAGGACTTTATATTTCTTTCCACATAAAAATGCCAACTCTGGATTTCAGCTTTTGAATGGAAGTGAGTTGGTTTCTATTCATTGTATTTGAGGATCCCATACATTTTTTTTTTCTCTAAAACATTCTAAAAGTTAGGACTTAATCTGTGGTTATACTTGGGTTATAATTAATTTATCAAATATGCTACTCTTTTGTCATGACTACATTTAAAAGTTACTGCTTAATTTATTTTTAATGGCTCTTCCTTAAAATGTCTTAATTGTATTACCTAAGGGCAAATTAAACATAATTAAATAAAAAGCATTTTGTCATCTATGAGAAATTGTTTGCTTTTACATTGCGGCCAAGCAGAGAGAAACCATTTCATTAAGGCGACTCAATTTTTTTTTTTTTTTTTGAGATGGAGTTTTGCTCTTGTTTCCCAGCTGGAGTACAGTGGCATGGTCTCAGCTCACTGTGACCTTCTGGGTTCAAGCGATTCTCCTGCCTCAGCCTCCCAAGTAGCTGGGATTACAGGCACCCGCCACCATGCCCAGCTAATTTTTGTATTTTTAGTAGAGATGGGGTTTCACCATGTTGGCCAGGCTGGTCTTGAACTGCTGATCTCAGGTGATCCACCCAACTTGGCCTCCCAAAGTGCTGGGATTACAGATGTGAGCCACCGCGCCTAGCCAGGCAACTCAGTTTCTAATCAGCTATGAGAAATTCCATTTATATAGGACTCTCTTCAGTTTGGTTTGTTGGTAAGTATATTGACCTGTGAAATGGAAATTTGCTTACTAGGAAAACCATCTTCAGATACAGCCCCTAAGCCCAAGAGAGCCCCCAAACAGAAGAAAGTAGTAGAGGCTGTAAACTCGGACTCAGATTCAGAATTTGGCATTCCAAAGAAGACTACAACACCAAAAGGTGAGGATTATCTTCTTATAATCCTTTAAACATACACTGTGTGGAAAAGATGGAATTTTTTCTACCTCATTGAATTTAGAGAGGCTAGGTATCTATTTTGTTTTAAATTGCTTTAGTCCTCAGTAAGCAGTGTGTCTAGGAATCAGTGCTGAATATAGTACAAAGGAGGTATAGCAATTTAGTTCAGTCACTTTGTTTTACAAATTAAAAAAACTGAGGCTCAAAGAGGTTAAATAAGAATCCCTAAGAATGGTCCAAATTCTCCCCTGCAGCCAACTCACTGAAAGTTGTTATTAAAAAGTCAGATTAGCACTCCACACTAACTAAACTGTGACACTTATTGTAATGGGCTAGATCCAGGACTCTTAGGCTAGAACTTTTTTTCTCACCTAAGAAATAACTGTACTCAGGACCACACAAGGAACCAGCTCCAGTTCTCCATGGCATCCCTTCTTTGTCTCCAGAATCTGGAAAGCCCTTAAAGATGCTTTATAAAATATGTTTTTAAGACATGATATGCTCTGAGGGTAGCTGCTCTATCTTTTATTCAACTGAAGGATATCTTCCTCAGTGTGTTTCTTCTATTTCTTAAAGGAGTGGTTGGGATAAGGAGCTGTGGATCAAAGGGAAATGGGGATAATAGGGTGGAAAAGAATCATAGTGACTGGGAAGGTAGTACTCATGATATGCAGGATTGAAAGCCTTTATCAATTCAAAAATGCTATTTCCCTGATTCATTTGATCAAATATGACATCCCAAGATTATGTAAGGCTGTCTTTGTACTTGTCCAATCTAGCTGTCAAGGAATTTTTAAAGATTTAAAATTAATTGCTATTTAGTTCTGTTTTATTTCATTGGCATCATTGTGGGATGGAGAACATCTGGCCCCTACTTAAATATTACCTTTTCTCCTTTCACCTCCAGTGATGAGAATAAGAGGTTAGGTAGGTGAAAAAAATGCTGCATGTGCCAAGTCTAGGTCTGAGAAGGAATATGTATTTGACATTTTATAGTCAATACTGGTGGTTCTCAGATGGTGCCACTCAACGTGGGATATGCAATTGGTTGTTACTAGTCTTTGATAAGTAAAACTGAGTAAACATTTAGACCTTTATGATAATTTCGTGTTAATAAAACAGCATGTGATTACATTTTTTAGTAATTTGTGTTCTATTGTATTTTTAAAAGTATTGGCCCATGACAAATTAGAAATTAAAAAAAAATTTTAAATCACATGTAATTTAAGAAATATTTTTCCAAGGTATTTCCTTTTCAGGCTCAAGGACCACATAGCAAATACAGATGTTTTATGTATGAAGGGATTCATCATTAAAATTTGTCTTTGGGACTTTCCCACTAATTTAAATATATTTGTGAAAAAGTCTTTGGTCATGTCAGCCCCAGAATTGAAATGCTACTGCCAAGTTATTTATAATCACTCATAGTAAGAGATCAGGACTGCAGTGTTCCACTGATTGGGCATGCCAAAGAAATAAACTACAATGTTGTGGCATTTATCTTTTTATATTGCACTTACCCATGGAAGAAAAAACCTTTTGTATCATTTTAAGGTAAAGGCCGAGGGGCAAAGAAAAGGAAAGCATCTGGCTCTGAAAATGAAGGCGACTATAACCCTGGCAGGAAAACATCCAAAACAGCAAGCAAGGTAACTGGGAACATCATTGCACATTAGCGCATGGCTTTTTAAAAAAAGATCTGTAACTGACTTAGTTTGCTTATTACTACAGTCCTGGAACAGCTTTCCACCTAGCATCTCATATCAATATGGGGCTTGTATATGGTTAAGGAATTATTCAAGTATGAATGTATATAATCAGGACTGTTTTCTAAATAACAGTGTGCTATAAATCAACCTACTTAGAATCTTCCATTTCATCCATTGAGCTATAGTACTGTTATGTTACCTAAATATTAGACTCTTTCAGACTAAAATATTATTTTTCAGACTAAAGACTGTTTCCTTTTAACTTGGATTTATTTGACCAGGGCTAATTTGATTTTTTTTAATTGAATTCATTTGACTGTGGCTAATTTTCCCAATTAGTCTGACCCTTTTCCAGAAGTACACTATTTTTTTTAAGGTAAATGAATGACATCAGCTACCTCCATCCCTTTTTTTCTCTTCCTAGTAAAACTTAAAAATACCAGTGTAGATGATCATAGCTTTATGTTGATTTCCACACTGACCTTTTCCATCCAGTCATCTTCTGTGTCTCAGGTCCACCTCGGTGATGCTTTGCATGTTTTAAAACACTTAACAGTGCATATTCCACATGGTGCGGGAGTCTTGTTTCCTCCCATGAATTCCTGATACGTACTTAGCAATAGGACAGCTTGAATTTTTACTAATCTGGGCATTGTGCATACTTTTTGGGTAAAATATAATTTTAGAAATAAAAGTGTTACATTTTTCAGGCTAGAACTTGGTAAATATGAAACCACCAAGGTAGCGAATTACTGTATGTAATCTTTTTCCTCCAAAAAATAAGGTAACTGGTCTTAAACTTAGGTTAGCATTACAAGTCTAATTTTAAAAGTTCCATTATTTGTAATACTTCCTAAACATAAGTGAAGTTTAAGGAGTGATAGTTCTTCATACTAGTCTTTATTTCTTTTAATAACTTTTAAATCTAATCTATTGAAAAAAAAAAATCTAGAAACCGAAGAAAACATCCTTTGATCAGGATTCAGATGTGGACATCTTCCCCTCAGACTTCCCTTCTGAGCCACCTTCTCTGCCACGAACCGGTCGGGCTAGGAAAGAAGTAAAATATTTTGCAGAGTCTGATGAAGAAGAAGATGATGTTGATTTTGCAATGTTTAATTAAGTGCCCAAAGAGCACAAACAAACATTTTTCAACAAATACCTTGTGTTGTCCTTTTGTCTTTTCTGTCTCAGACTTTTGTACATCTGGCTTATTTTAATGTGATGATGTAATTGATGATGGATTTTTATTATTGTGGTAGGCCTTTTAACATTTTGTTCTTACACATACAGTTTTATGCTCTTTTTTACTCATTGAAATGTCACGTACTGTCTGTCTGATTGGCTTGTAGAATTGTTATAGACTGCCGTGCATTAGCACAGATTTTAACTGTCATGGTTACAAACTACAGACCTGCTTTTTGAAATGAAATTTAAACATTAAAAATGGAACTGTGTTCTCTGTCTCTTTACTGAAGATAAAGGTGTAGTAAAGGCTCCCACACACCTTTAAAATAAATATATTTTATTCTTTGCCAGGAGACTCCATGGAAAAAGGTAAACAGTATATGAACATAGAAAGCATTGTTAAACAAACAATCTCAATGTACAAACAGAGCCAGTGAAAGTACATCACAGACTTGCTAGTATATCAAAAAAAAAAAAAAAAAAATTCCACTAGTGCTTAAATGAGAACTAAGAAACTGACACTTGTATCTGTTAACCACTCTACCACAGCTTTCACTCTGCTTCATAGTGATTGAACAAGGTCAAAGGAGTCAGATTCTATGCCTGTGTCTTTGGGAGTTAATATTAGCCCCTTGGCATCAAGAAGGCTGGAAAAAAAAAATCCCAATATCAGGCATGAACCAGGAAGGACACTAGAGTTACATGGTCCAGGTGGTAGACCAGCCTGCTAATTATCCCATGAAATTTCCCTAATGGCTTGTGAACAGGTAAACAAAAACTTAACACTGAAAAGTGTTTCTGCCTTGGAGGCTATCATTACTGTAAAAAAATTTTTTTTTTTAAACTGTGTAATGTCATTAAACAAGTAATAAACCACTTTTAATTTAAAGTGACATTAACAATTGAACAAATGACATTTGATTAACTGAACTGGCAGTTACACTGATACAGAATTCTCTTCTGCTAGTGCAGGGAATTTGTATACTTTTACTGGGCAACATGAAATAAAAGATGATGCCGTTTGAGAGCATCAGAAAGAGCAAAGACAAGCTTCCATACTAACTAAATTAGAATATCTTCAGTCTTGTCATACTGTACAATAGTCCTGTTTCCTTACCTTGATGTCTTGACTATTCCATGAAAGCAAGACAGTTATCTTTTTGAACATAGGTGGACATGTACAGTAGTCTATTTCATAACCTTGGTGTCATGGTTATTTTGAGTATGCAAGACAAAAGGAAAGCACCAAACATACAGTATAGAAAGAACAGAGCCATACTTCTGTATGTACAAAGTCTTCAGAAACTTAACCAGGGGTAAATCATTTTGACTGGGTCTTTGCCATGCAATCTTGAGTGTTCAAAGAGGAAAATAGAAGCTTTTAACTAGTTTCTGGTTGCATGAAATGGCTGATTTTTTTAGAATTTGAAAAGTTTGTATTTCTAGGTAAGTTACACAGTGAGGAGTATATATATTGATACATACGAAAACTTCTTGGTCCTTCTTGAGTTTTAATATATTTTCAGTCCAAAAACTAAGCAGCAGTAAAAATGTTTTTTTCTTGCATTTTAAATCCTGGAACTGAAGGTACTGGGGAATGTTTGAAGTAGCTAGAAAATGTCTTATTGCACAAGTGGTGACTGACTGACCCCACTGTTTTCCACTGAGCTGGGTGAGATGCTAGGACTGTGCTCTGCTGTGTTCCCACTTGAACTTGGGGTCAAGGGTTCATGTCCTTCAGAATTCTCCAGCATTTCTTGAATGAGAGGTGGCATTGATCCAGGAATTTCCATTTTCAAGGTAATTACACGTTCTGCACCTTTTCAAAAGAGATAATGAAAATCTGGTTAAGATAAGGAGTTAAGCTATGACAGATAACCAGGGACCAATTTTCATATATTTTAACAAAGGTGTTTCCTAAGACTGTCACTTAAGGATCCATTGATTACTATCACATTCATAAATACAAAGATGGATTTGGAATGGGAATTGCATCCACCAAAAATCATGTTTATTTATTCTGAAGTTAAGAATCAGATTGGGTTGTCAGCCAGCTCAGACTCACAGTATGTTGATAAGAGAGGGTCTTTTTATGATCTGCTAGAACTTTGTCTTTTATGCAAGCAGTAACTGATACAGTTGCTCCTTTTGATAACAGAAAATTATGCAAACAATGCCTCCCAGAGGCCATCCTTATTTTATACCATTAAAACATTTTTACTTTATGGAAAAGCAGCAGAGGTACGGTGACATTTAAACTTGATGTCTTCGTTTCAGGAAATAACAATTTACAAAGAGAAGTTCCTGATGAAAGAAGTGTATCTTGAAAAAGACAGGTTGATGCCAGTTACCCACAAACAGAGGAATTGACAATGTGCGGTTATTATTAACCACTTGATTTAGCAGCACTCTGTCCAGTACAGTACCCATTAGGTAGCTAAATTTAAGTTTGTTAAATAAAATTAGAAAAACAGTGCCTCAGTTGCATAAGCCACACTTTAAGTGCTCGAGAACCTCTTGTGTCTAGTGGCTACTGAAATGGACAGTACAGATTATTTCTGTAATTGCAGTAAATTCTATTAGATATCACTAGTCATCTATACAGAATGACAGTATTAAGTTAAACAGCCTCGTTTTTAAAAATCGAAGATACCATATTCACAACCACACTGGTATCTGCTGCTTGCTTCTCTTAATTCCATGCAAGGATGAATTCAGAATGCTCATCGAGGAGACCTCTTAGAAGGAGCTCAAGAGTTAAGACTGCTTGTCAAACAAGTTCCCTGTGCTTTTAAGCACTTTCTGAAATAGTATATTCCTTGGCTAGCAAACATCTTCAGAGACAAAGTAAGTAGTCTGATGGGGAAAGGAGAATGACAATAACCCATTTGGTACCAGGGATAGCTGCTGAGTTGTGTCTCTACATAGAAAAACCTTACTGTTAACATTCAACTGTGATATAGCTCTAGGCACCTCTATAATTGCTTGAGTTGCTACATAAACAGAAAATCACTAGGCAAAGAATATTTATACCTCTTAAGAAGGCAAGAATTCCTTTGCTTAGAAGTGTGCAGAAAGAAATCTGCCTATATACAAAAGAGCAATGGCTAAAGTGATTGAGAGAAACTTAACAAAGGTTTAGATATTCAGGAAAAACTGGAGTCAAGGTTACATAAACCAGAGGTGTGTAGAAAGCTGGAATTAAATGTATGAACCTAGACAATTAGCCTGTTATAGTACATTCTCTTGAAAACAATGTTTTTCTGATCAGTCAAATTTTAAAGCTCTCAATCATTAAGATAGTTGAATAGGGTAAGATTTGAGGGTTTTTTTTTGGGGGGGGGGGTGGGGTGGGGGGATACTATTTCTTTTGATTTCAATGAGAAATGAGTTCCAAAACTTAAAAAGCAGCCATTAAACATCCTGAATTGAATAAAGCGACACAACCTGGTAAGGCCCTCGAGTCCACTGTGTGACTACAGTACTGAGAGCACAAAGACATACCTTTAGCACTGATGCTACGGAGATCTGTGATTTTCATTAAGATCTTTGGAAACATGTGAGGCTTGCTGGGTCGTCTTTTTCTGATATAAATTTTTAGTGCTTCCAGCAATGGTTCTTGTAGTTTATCTACTTTTGTCGGTTCCTCAAGGTCCTGGCGGTCTACATACCAGGAATAAAGTATTAAATAAAATCAGGATTTATGCCCTTTTCCCCTCTTCCTTGTTTCCTTATTCCTACTGAGTTCATTAATTTGGTAATTCAATTACATACACAAATTTGTAGACTTACGCAATTGCTTTAAGCAGTGATACTTGAAAGAAAAAAAAACCCCTTGGTAGTATAAACATTTTGATGGTTGTTTGCTTTTGTCCCAGGGAAAGAATTACCTCCTGTGACCAGAAGGTGTCACTACCGAACTGAATTAAAACCTTGAGCAGGAAGATTATTTTAGCACAAAGTAAATCGGCTCCTTAATTAAAGCCATTACTTTTTAACCACTTACGAGTCAGCCTCCTGTAGGCCAGTAGGGGTCACTACAGAGAAGAAAGCTAAATTTTATCCCAGTCCTCCAAGGGTTAGTGGGAGGGCCCTGCCAAATACTTGTATACCTACCCACTAAATAACAAACAGCACATACAAGTCCCTGGTCATCATTCAAATGTCCCCAGGCAATTCATTTTACAATAGTCTGATCCTACATTTAAGGAAAAAAAAAAAAACAAAAAACCCTGTGGCAATTGGAGTAATAGCTTTTTGGGGTTTCTTTCTGAGCTGAAGGATCCCAAATACCATTAGTTAATTTGTAACAACATGAAAAAATACAATGAACCCGGGCATGTATGCCTGGCTTTATTCACATCTTTTCCCATGTAAACAACTCCAAAAGGGAAATGAGGAATTTTTTCACAAATTGCAAGTATAAACTGTTCTTCATGGAATTTCATGAGGCTTTTCTACATAGTTGATACCTCCACAGATTAAGCAGATGGCACTGAGAAGGCCTGTTTCTGTGTCATCCATTTCCAAAGGCAGGAGCTGGTTGGCAAAGGTGAACACAAGGTCAGTCAGAGGACCAAATCCAGCATTGTGCATCTGAGTTCGATTTAGGGTAAGGCCGTCTGAAAAAGTCATGGTGTCTTGTTCTGGGGTATACCTGGTGCAAATTCTAAGAATCTGGAAGGGGAAAAAAAAAAGTGATGGATGTTCTAAGCCAGCCTGTCCTAAAATCATCAATCAGATTTAAGCAGGAAATAACATGAAGATTTCCAAGAAGCTCTTACATCACCTGGGGCAGTCTGTCCCCCTTTCACATGTTGAATGACTTCTTTAGCTCTTTCATTAAGAGACTACAGAAGTCAAAACCCAGGGGCTGAAGTTTTTTAGGAAATACTAAACAGGACACAAGAAATTCTGAGAAATATCTTTTTAAAAGTAATTCATTATTTGATTCAAATAAACATTTACTGAGTACCTAAGTATGTCCCAGGCACTGTGCCAGGTGCTGGAGGTTTAAAAAAAAGATGAATAAGATTATTTTTTAAGAGCTTACGGTGTACAATAAATGACAATATCATTTATTAAATGCATAGTATATATCAAGTTTTGTACATACCCTATATCAATCTTTCAAACAGCTTGGTAAAATGAATATTATTCTTATTTTACAAATGAAGGACTTAAGATGTGCCCAATGTCACATAGTTAACATGTAACTGAATCTGACTCAAACCCAAGTTAGGCTGACTCTCCCATGATGCCTCTGATCGCATAGTTACACAGACAGCTACAATACAAGGCACGTCAGTGAAACCAGCAAGGTATTAGGGAGTTCAGAAGAAGGAAAGCTCAGAAATAGGCAAGAGGAAATCAAGGGCAGATCCATAAAGAGGTGGCATTTCAACCAAACCCTAAAGTGTTGACAGGATTTCTACAGGCAAAAAGCCTGAGTCACTCTGCCAGAGTCTCCCAGTCCCACCCAGTGTATGCTTGACACATCACCCTGTTGGCCCTCTGGGACGCCAGCTACTAAGGAGACTCCTGCTCACTGCCTGTGCCTCTAAGCCTCACTCAGAGCAAAACAAACTGAAAATGCCTTGCTTCTGTCGATACTCAATCCTGGCTCAGGTTTCCACTGCCCTATGAAGCCTGAACGCTGGTGAGGAGCTCTGTGCATTCCAGAGCACTTCCCCACCCAGAACCACATTTCTGCACCAGCAGTAAAAGGTGTCTGCTGACCAGGTTGCCATACTTGACTTTTCCCTCTGAAAAAGTTTCAGAGCTGCTTGAAGCACAGAGAGAAGTAAATCAAAAGTGAATAACTCAGTAGGCTGAAGAAGTTGAGAGTTTTTCCCAGATACTGGCACTTAATTTGGCTGGGTATGGCCCTGTGAATGTCCACCTCAGTATCAACCTACAGGAGGACAGATGTGATCGGAAAGGCCTGCTTTATTCCTGTTACATGGCCATGTGCAGAGACGAGTGGCCTCTGAGGAAGACACAGGACCCCCTACCTAGGAGGGAACTCCTTGTAGTAAAGCCTCTGCATCCTGCCCCTATTCCCATCAGGTCTCCTACAACAAAACCTTCTGTCAAATCTCTCCTCTTGTCAGGGCAACGCCGGGGGTTTGGGACCAGGACACTGCCCATGGGGAAGTCAGTCCTATCTGACTGGTGGTGGATCCACAAGAGCCTCACACCCAGTGGACCACATGAACCACGATGGGACAGTTGCACTGCAATGGTCACATGCTTTTGGGTTCTCTAGATCTCCAAGAAGGCAGTGACCTAGGAGCCAGCCTTCTTCCTACACAAAGGACTCCAGCGGGTATACGGAGGAAGTCACCAGGACATCCCATAGAGTGAGGGTGCAGCGCCTCTGTTGGTATATTTTTTTAAAAGTCTGACTTCAGTGTGTTATTGGTTAAAACTCCAAGAGGAAAACTGTGAATGAGTAGCACTTTTCATCCCTAACATACAGTAAGAGCTAATGTTTTACCGATCACCTAACCAGGTACCGTAACTAAACACTAGTGTATTATTTCTCCTATCAACCCATGAGTTGTTACTATTAGCTGGGGAAACACATCTGAATAGCTTATGCTAGGTCACGTAAGCTAGTAGAATGACTGGATTTAGGCTTTTTCTAGAACCTGTGCTTTTAACCACTGCTCCATAGCTGCCTCATTTTCTCTTCATGCCAATACTCAAACCTAGACACCTCTCTAAGGTTAGATCACCTTTAGCCCAGTATTGACTTCGATATCAGCCTTACTGGGCACTTCTGTGCAGCACATAACTGCATAACTATTCACGGTGGCCTACCTGGTGTAGAGGGGTGAAGAGCTTGTGGCCTGGAAACAGAAACATTTTATATTGGGAGGGGTGGTAGAGATATCTAAATCAGGACCTGTCATCAAACTTCTTAATGCTCCTACTATATAATCAAGTGGCATAGTGAATTAGCAATTGACCGTTAATGCGAGTGGTTATCCAAACACTACCATGATCTCTCTTCATTGGATGGGTGGTTATTTTCACCTCCCAGATACTTGCCCAGAGGCCCTTCTGAGCTAGCCCAGCCATTTCCTCTGGGTTCCCAACTGGTTGACCTGTTTCACTTCACCTTGGTAACTGATGGGGTATGAAGGCATTTCCAATGTCAGAGCAGTAAGAAAACTCAGAAGTCATTGGGCATAAAGCCTCACATTTCCCCTGAAAGCCCTGGGAGATCAAGTGTGCCCAAGATCACACAAGCAACAGTGCTAGAGCCTAGAATACAGGTCTTCCAATCCCCAGCCTGATGTTCCTTCAGCTACCTGGAGAAACATGAGGAAATACTGCCTCTGCAGGGAGTTATCAAGTGACAGTCAAAGTTAGCACTTTGGGAGGCCAAGGCGGATGGATCATCTGCAGTCAGGAGCTCGAGACCAGCCTGACCCACATGGTGAAACCTGTCTCTACCAAAGAGCACAAAAATTAGCCAGGCCTGGTGAAGCACACCTGTAGTCCCAGCTACTGGGGCGGCTGAGGTTGGAGAATCGCTTGCACTGGGAGGGGGAGGTTGCAGTGAGCTGGGATCATGCCACTGCGCTTCGGCCTTGGCGACAGAGTGAGACCCTGTCTCAACAACAACAACAACAACAACAACAACAAAGGTAGTATGCTCAATATTTATGGGTCCCGAATCCCCGGATACATTTCTAGTCTGGAATCAAATAGGTACTAAATAAGGCTTTGCATCTTTAACGTGCTGCCAAGAAATGAATGCATGAGATCTGTCCCCTGCAAAAATGAAAGCATGAGATCTGTCCCCTGCAAAAATGAAAGCATGAGATCTGTCCCCTGCAAAAATGAAAGAATCCAGACATTTGTTGGAAAGGAACAGAAGACCAGGATTTAGGACTTCGCAAATTGCCAATAACTCACTTAGAAATCCACATCCAAACTGCAGCCCTCAAATGTTTCTAACTATTCTATTCGAAAAGGTTTTCCTCCTCAAAAGTTAGAATGTATTTGGATTCTGATGAGGCATTTAAACCATGTTCTGTTGCCTCTCTTCCTAGAAAGTTCAACGCCGAAACCAAGTACAATCGGTACCTCCAGAGAGGAACGCACGTGGCCTGAGGAGGAAGACTGCTCAATGTCTCCTTTTATCCAAGGAGCCTCCATTCCCTGCCCCGGCCCCAGCCTGAAACAGGATGGCCCCCAGGTGAAACGGGCATCCTCCTCACTGCTTCCGGCTGCTTCTGTCTCTGGAGAGAACCCAAGTCGTTTCATTTTGTCACACTAAAATCAAATGCCAGTGGCAACCACCAAGTACTTCTCCAGGATTAAAACACTCTTTGTTTGAAAGGAAGGCATCTTCTCTGGAAAGACCGGCATCCAGGCCCCACGAGATGGGTAAAAATAGCTCAGGCCAGGCTGTCTCACCAAAGCCGGGCCCTGTTGGACAACACAAAGCTCCAGTTGATGGTCAAACTTGATCCTCCTCAGGGCAAAAAGAACCTTCTTTTCTTGCTATCAGCAAAGACAACTGTGCATCTCTCTACCGCTTCTGATGGGAGTGTAAGTTCTGTGTGTGTCTTGGGGTAGGCCTGCTTGATAATGGAACCCTGGAAGAATCTGATGATGTGGGACCCCAGAGGCAGAACCAGGGGCTTGTCCACCAAGCTGCCATTACCTCTCTTATGGTGAGGCGCCTCTGAAGTGACCCCTTATTTCTATTCCTGCTTGAGTACTACATGGTCAATCCACAGCAGCCAGAGCCTGTTGTCCAAAATGTTCATCAGAGGAGAAAGCTCCTCAAATGACTTCTGGTCCCCTTCAGAATAGAATCCAGACTTTTTTCTGTGGCCTCAGTGGCCTCTCCCTACCTTGCCAACTTCAACTACTTCTCCTTTCCTTTGCTCATGAACTTCTGGCCATCTTGGTCTGCTTTGTGAAGCTTCAGTGACGCACTGCTGAGGCAGTGTTTGCACTTGCTTTTCCCTCTGGCTTCAGTGCTTTTCCCTGATCTTCACATGGCTCACTTCTCAGAGTTCAGCTTGAATGTCACTTCCTCTAAAGCCTCAGTGAAAATGCTTTCTAAAACCCATTATTTTCTATCCCATCATCCTTTTGGGTTTTGGAATAAGAAATAACATTGTTTTAAAATTGAGGTATAACATGTGGTGGTTTAAAAATATGTGTGCAAATTCTTTGATCCTACTCCCTTTACGGGGTGGAGCTTAATTCCCCTCCCCTTGGGTGTGGCCTGGACTTAGCGATTTGCTTCTAACAAATAGAATATGGTGAAAGTGATGGTGTGTGACTTGGGAAACTAGGTCACAAAAAGCATTGTCACTTCCTTCTTGCTTGCTCTTTCTTGAATCTCTTGCTCTGGGGGAAGCTAGCTGACATTTCAAGAGGACAGTTATCCAGCCCCATGGACAGGTCCACAGAGGAAGAAACTGAGTCCTCCCATCAATGACCAGCACTAAATTGTGAGACAAATGTGACGAGTGATTGTGTGGAGGCAGAGAGCTTCCGGCCTCTGGAATTCTTTAGGTGACTGCAGCTCTGACTGGTGTCTTGATTGCTATTTCATGACAGATACTGAGCCAGAACCACTCCATGAAGTCAGTACCAGATTCCTGAACCACTGTGACTATGGGAGATAATAATGCTTATGTTTT